TATACATACTTTGCTGGTTTTTTGTGTTTCTCTAGAGAACCCAATCTAACACACTAAGTCTCCTGGACTGCTGGAACTCCATGAGCAACCCCAGTCTTGCTCTATTGTTCCTCCTTATACTGCTTGTGGTCTGCCCAGGGCTCACGTGGGAAAGGCCGAAATTACCCTGACAGGTAACTGCCTTTGGTTCCTTTTCTCTTCCATCTGATTAGTGGTCAGTTTGACTCTAATCACTCATTTCTCATTTGAGATACTGTAAGGGTTACGGTCAGGATCAGGGTTCAGGTTTATGTTCTCCTCTCCCTAACACTGAAGCTCGCTCTTACACTCTCACTCTGTCTCTCTGCCTGTCTATCTGTCTGTCTCTTTCTCACACACACACACATACACACACACACTGCTCCAGTGTTTGTTGTCCTGTGCAGGACTTTGCCCCCTCTATTCATGCCCAACAGCCTCCTGCCTTCTTCATTTGAGGCAGTGAGTCTGTGTCTCTAGACCTGGGTTGGGAGTCTTCAGGGCAAAGTTGGGTCCCTTTAGCCATGAAAGTGTAATGCTCAGCCTCTGCACTATGTGAGCCTGGAGGGAGGGAACCCAGGTCTGCCTACTGAATCTCCCAGGCCCTCTGCCTCCTGGTCCATCCCACCAGCACACTGGGTGTTCTCTAAGCTCACTTTGGCCCAGTGTCAGGGCTGGGCACTGGACCATCTGAGGCTTCCCTGAACCACACCAGCTCCTCTTCTGCAGGGCACCATCATCTTGCCCAACTTGGCCTCTGTGCTGTATGACCCCTGCTGCTGGGAGACTCCCCGGCAATTCAACCCCGGCCACTTTCTAGACAAGGATGGAAACTTCATGGTCAATGAGGCCTTCCTGCCATTCTCTGCAGGTACTGGGCACAGTGCTATGTCCTGGGTGGTGGGTAGTAGGCATGGTAGGACAGACACAGAGCCACCCTCTGACCTTTCCTTCTGCTTCCAGGACATCGGATGTGCCCAGGGGACCAGCTGGCCCGGATGGAGCTCTTCCTGACATTTGCCACCCTCCTCAGGGACTTTGAGTTCAAAATGCCGGAGGGGAGCCCAGGGCTCAGAATGGAGTATATCTTTGGGGGCACTCTGCAGCCCCAGCCCCAGAAGATCTGTGCGGTACCTCGCCCAAGCACCTCTAGCCCCGGTCCCAAGGAAGATGGTCTGTAGCCAGCTGGGGTCAGGAGGACTGTTCCCCACAAGATCCTTTCGCAGTCTCCCTTGGCTCCTAAAAAGTTGGGAAGAGTGAGAGTAGGGGTTCACCAAGCTCAACACTCATGGCTCCCCTACAAAAGTTCTATGGGGTGACACTGGAAGATAGACTTATTAAGGATTCTACAAAAGTTTAGCTCAGGGTGGGTAACGCAGCTTAGGCAGCAAAGGGTTTTACAAGGTTAGTTAAAAATACAGCATTAAATCATTTCGCAAGGTTAATTTGGCAAATCATTCTTCATAAAGTAGCACCTAAGTAGGTCCAGAGGGAAAGACTTTCAGGCAAAAGGTTTTATGCTATTGTTGTTGTTATGTGCTGTCAAGTAGGACCCTCAAGTAGTACCCGACTCATAGTGACTCCTCCTTGGGTTTCCAAGGCAGTATCACTACAGAAGTAGATTGCCCAACCTTCCTTCCGAAGAGTGGCTGGTGGGTTTGAACCGCCAGCCTTCTGGTTAGCAGTCAAGTGCCTTAGGCACTAAGCTACCAGAGCTATTGCAGGAGAAACCAAAGATGGATGCTTATTTTCTGCCCTCTCCTGCCCTCTTTTGACCAGAGGGAAGAAATGCAGGCCCTTGTGAGCCTATGGCAGGGAAATAGGAAAGTTAGCAAGCAGCCAATGCAGTTGTTCCCAACAAAGTCTCCACCAAGGACTCCTTTTCCCTTTTCCCTAAGGGTCCCCAAGTTTGAAACATTTGTCTCCAGACAATCCTTGTTTATTAAAACAAATAATGACTTACATCAGGGAAATGCAATGAAAATAAAAATGAGATACCATGGTACACCTGTTCCCATTGCTCAAGACGATCCAACACATAGTGACCCTATAGGACAGAGTAGAACTGTCCCATAGGGTTTCCTAGGCTGTAATCTTTATAGAAGCAGACTTCACATCTTTCTCCCGTGGAGTGGCTGGTGAGTTTGAACCGCTGACCTTTTGGTTAGCAGCTGAGTGCTTAACAACAGTACCATCAGGGCTATTGTTGTTGTTGTTGTTATATGCCATTGAGTCGGAACCGACTCATAGCGACCCCTCCTTGGGTTTCTTAGGCAGTATCACTACAGAAGTAGATTGCCCAACCTTCCTTCCAAGGAGTGGCTGGTGGGTTTGAACTGCCAGCCTTCTGGTTAGCAGTCAAGTGCCTTAGGCACTATACCACCAGAGCTCCTCAAAGGCTATCAGAACTGCTGAAAACAAACAAACCCTGACAACCCCAAGTACTAGCAAGGATGCAGAGCCACCGGAACGCCCATACATTCTTGGTAAGAATGAAAAATGATGCAACCATGTTGGAAAACAGTTTGGCAATTTCTTTTGAAATTAAATATACACCATATGACCCAGCATCCCACTCCAAGAGAAATTTAATATATGTTCACTCAGAAGTACACCGTATGATTCCATTTTTATGACATTCTTGAAAACTATAGGTACGGAAAACAGATAAGGGGTTGCTAGGGGCTGGGAGTGAGGGTAGGGCTGACTATAAAGGAACTTTCTGGAGTGAAGGAACTGTTTTGTATTTTGGCTGTGGTAATGGTTATAGGACTGGATGCATTTGTCAAAGCTCATAAAACTGTATACTTTAAAAGGGGACTATTGTGGTATGAAAATCATGTCTCAACAAATCTGATTTTTTTTTTTTTAAAGAATGACTTATCGTTCTCCTTTGCATTATTTAAAAAAAATACACATACAAGCAAACTAACATTTCTAATTAGTAGGCTATCAGTCATCACTGCCATTCTGGTCTTGGAGAATTCTAGCCAGAAATAAGGGAACTTGACATAATAATTAGCTTCTGGCCTGTTTGTGGGCAAATACACAAGTTCCTCCAGGCCTTTTGAAATCTTGAAGCTTGCTAACAGATACCCTTATTCTTTTCTGTGGAATGATACACAAAGCTGGGGAAACCCAAATAAGGAGCCACTGGATTAATAGGGAGTTCTAGTGGTGTAGTGCCTAAGGCATTTGACTACTAACCAGAAGACTGGTGGTTCAAACTCACCATCCACTCCTTGGAAGAAAGGCTGGGCAATCTACTTCTGTAGAGATACCGCCTCAGAAACCCAAGGAGGGGTTGCTATGAGTAGGATTCGACTCGATGGTGGTAAGGGCTTTTTTTATTTTTATTTTTGGATTAACAGGACCTGGAACTGGGCCCCTCTTCATTGGTTGGTCCCCAACCCGAGCCAGTAGTTGCGCTTTGCTGTTTGTAACCCAGGCAAGCCTTGGGGTGGAGAAAACAAAGCCAGGCCTTAACTCAACTGCTTCTTGCCTCATTTTCCTAACCCTCCGCTAGTCCTCTCCCTGTTAGAGCCCTGTCTGGCACTTGTAGCACCCTCTAATCTGTCCCCCTGCCACTGTCCAGCCTCCTGTCCTTGATCCTGCCTGGACCTTGGCATGTTACTCTTTTCAAAAGTGACCTGCTACAGGAAGCTTTCCCTCACATGGGTTTTGATCCTGGTTGAAATCCCAGTTTTGCTATCAGTAACCCAACTCTTTCGTGCCTTGGTTTCCGCATCTGTTAACTGGGACAATAGAAGCTATCTCTTAGACTCACTGTGAGTGATGAGGCTCAGCACAGAGCACACAGCACTTGCTCAGGAAGTACATGTTCACAGGGAACTTCTTTCTGGGATACACATCTGTAAGCACTTTGCATCTCCATTTATGGCCCTGAAATAAAAATGATGACGACAGCAGCCCTTCCCTGTTCATGAACTTCTGCCTCAGTTTTTAATTGCTACCATATAATGATCAGGATGATAGCTATCGTGTGTTGAGTGTGAATGAGCGAACCAGGTACTTGAAACACATGAAGTCATTTAATTACCAAATTGACAAGATAGGTATCATCACCTGCATTTACAGGAGTAAGAGTCATCAAGATTAAAAACCATGCCCATGAACAAGGAGTTAGAAGTATTAGAATATCAATAAACTTCTGTTTCTTCATTTGCAAATTGGGAATAATAATGCCAATTCATTTGATAGGTATGAAGATTAAATACCTGGCACCGTACCTGGCACATATTAAGTGCCAATAAAAGCATTTAATAATAACGATAAATACTTCTACCCCTGGATTATTATCAGCACATCCATGTAGATCCTTCCCTCTCAGTGTCTCAGCTGGCTGGCCTATAAAGACCCTGCTTCTCCTATAGCCTCTGAATAAAGTTCAGTGTCTGGCAGGGAACAGCACACTCACTCAAACTGAGCAATGAGGAGGGTGTGATAACAGAGAACACAGAAGCCACGTCATGTGGATGAAGGAGAAAGGGAATGGGGGAACATTGTTGGTGGTGGGTGCCGTCAAGTTGATTCTGACTCTGTGGTGATCCCATGTGACAGAGTATTACCCTCCAGGTCTTTCACAGTGAGGAGAGTAAGTGCCCTAAAGTCATTCTCCTCCCACCCTCCAATCTCCTGTTGATATCTGCAATTGGCTGAGCCCAGCTGGAAGCCAGAGGGCAAAGGAGCCCACTGATGTGGTTCAGATGTGGTTCACAGAGGTCAGCCTCATGGGGGCTGGAGCAACATAGGAGAGGGATCTGGAGGGGCAAGCAGAGAACACCCAGCACATTCCAGCCCTGGAGCCCCTGGATTCTGGAGACGGGCCACATCCTCCTCATGCCCTAATGATTCCTTCAAATCACTTATCCACAGATCACCTTGAGCATACATTTGTTTCGTTGAGAAACTACCCCCAATCTCTTTCACTTTTTCAGAACTATTAACAATCACCGGTTACTTCCCCTTTCCTCACTGGAGTCTTGGGATTCCATCCCAAGCCCTACCATCATCCTGGTGACCTCAAGTCCATGTGAGCAACCCAGTCCACACTCAGGATGCTCAGTTGCTGGGCTTCTGCACCTTTAGTGGCCTCCACTTCATTCCTCTCCAGCTATCAGCCTATGGTCACAGGTAAGTTCTTGTCAGCACCTACAGAAGTCCTCCCTCTGAAGTCATAAAGGCATAGGTCCCTGTCAAGAAATGAGAAGGATCTGATATGAAAGCTAGTAAGTTAGCCTGACACAGTTTCAGTGATGCTGAGTCAGAGACAGAGGACAACTATTACTCACAGCAACAGCATTAACTAAAGCATCAGCATTTTTGTCCTGGTTCTGAGTCCCAATTCCCAAAGTACAATGCAAAAGGACTGGACGACACCTACATACTCAGTGGGTTGCATTATAGGAGAAGAGTTCCAAGCTTAGGGAACTTAAGTCTTTTATACCAAAAAACCAAACCCATTGTCATCGAGTCAATTCAGACTCATAATAGAAGTGCCCCATAGGATTTTCAAGGCTGTAATCTTTACGGAAGCAGATTGCCACATCTTTCTCCCGCAGAGCAGCTGGTAGGTTCCAACCGCTGACCATCCAGGTAGCAGTGGTATGCTTAAACTTTCTGCGACAAGGGCTCCTTGAATCTTTTATGATGGGCAGTAAATAGGCCTTACTCTGGCAATACTATCTCAATCTTTACTTACAAGCCTGTAAGTAAACCTGTCGTTTGCCCTGGAGAAAACAATTATCTCTGTCTTCTGAGGTGTTTGCAATTGAAGCATCTCACCAAAGGAGCAAAGGACAGTGAGTCCCTCACTCACAAGACACGCAGAAACGAAGAACATTTCTTGAGGTAATGTCTCCTTCCAGGATAAAGCGGTAGATTCCCACTTCTCTAAGAAAACACCAAATGGGGATGATGCTGGTGCTGTAGGAAGGCCTGGAAGCCTCGTGGCTTTCGCAGAGCCTCTGGCAGCAGCCTCCTGGGCTGGGGCTGGGCCACTGGGGTCCCAGCTGAGCCCAAGGAGATCATGGAGAAAGGCCGAGGACAAGGAATGGCTCCTCTTCACCAAGCCGGTCAAGGACATGAAGATCAAGTCCCTGGAGGAAAGTTATCTCTTCTCCCTGTCCATCAAGAAGTCTGAGATCATTGGCTTTTTCCTGGGGATGTCTCTCAATGATAAGGTTTTGACAATCATGCCTGTGCAAAAGCAGACACACACTGGCCATTGGACATATTCAAGACATTTATTGCCATTGGGGACATAATAGCCATGTTGGCCTGGGTATTAAGTGCTCCAAAAAGCTGGCCACCATCTTCTGCAGGGTCATCATCCTGGCCAAGTTCTCCAATGTCCCTGTGCAGCAAGGCAACTAGAGAAAAACGTTGGCAAGCCCACACTATTCCCTGCAAGGTGACCAGCTGGTGTGCCTCATCCCAGCCACTAGAGGAACTGGCATAGTCTTGGCCCCATGCTCAAGAAGCTATTGATGATGGCCAATATTGATGACTGCTACACATCAGCCAGGGGCTGCACTGTCAATCTGGGGAACTCTGCCAAGGCTGCCACCTTCAGTGCCATCTCCAAGACCTGCAGCTATCTCACCACTGATGTCTGGAAATAGACTGCTCATGAAGTCTCCCTACCAGGAATTCATTCACCATCTTGTAAAGACCCACACCAGAGTCTCCATGCAGAGGACCCAGGCTCCAGCTGTGGCCACTACCAAGCGATTTTTATACAAGAAAGACAAAGTGAATTAATTAAGGGAGGAAAAAAAGTAGTAGATGCTTTAGTTGAGATGCAAACCACCACATGTGCAGCATCCATCAGGCCCATAGCATTGCTACTGTGGGACTTGGGGACTAAGTTGTTGCTGTTGTTGTTATGTGCCATCGAGTCGGACCCGACTCATAGCGACCCCTCCTTGGGTTGCCGAGGCAGTATCACTACAGAAGTAGATTGCCCAACCTTCCTTCGGAGGAGTAGCTGGTGGGGATGAACCACCAGCCTTCTGGTTAGCAGTCAAGTGCCTTAGGCACTACACTACCAGAGCTCCCTTGGGGACTAAGAGGACCCACATAATCATGATGCTCATGCTGCTTGCTGTGTTCTGGTGTCTTAGCTTCCCAGTCCTGCTGTAACAAAAATACCACAAGGAGGGTGTCTCAATTCTCTAGTGCTGCTATAACAGAAATACCACAAGTGGATGGCTTTAACAATCAGAAATTTATTCTCTTACAGTTTTGAAAGCTAGAAGTCTGAATTCAGAGTCCTGGCTTTAGGGGCTGGGCAAAGGCCCCTCAACCTTTGAGCTTCAGCTCTGCCTTCTGTTCCAGGCCCACTGGAGCTGAAGGCTTTTTCTAACTTATGCAGTTGCTGGCTGTTGAGTCTGAGGAACCCAAAGTCAGCAAGCAGAACAGCACAATCCCAAGATTAACAGGCACATGGCAGACCACATGGTTCCAGGAATAATGCCAAGATCAGCAGGCAACACAGTAGGCCACTGAGATAAAGACTCAGCCGAATGCAGGAACCAGATGTGCCAAAAAGCTGAAGACCTTTCTCAAACCTTCTCCTTATATAATGGAAGCAGACCACACAATGAAGGCAAAAGCTTAGCTGCTTACAGCAGATTCCACCATGGAGGTGATTATAATCTCATCATGGGGAATAACTACATCCAGCTGCCCAACCACTCCAAACCATGGCCCAGCCAAGTTGACAAATGACCTTAACTACTACTGAGGGTGTCTTTAAAGTACAGAAATTAATTTTCTAACGGTTTAGAAGGCTAGAAGTAGAAATTCAGGGCATTGGCACTCTTTCAACTTCTAGTAGCTGCCAGCAACCCTTGGCATTCCTGGGCTTGTAGATGCATCTGCCAACATCGTCATCCACTGTCATATGGTGTCTGCCTTTCCTCTGTGTCTTTTATAAAACACACCACTCATAAGGGATTAGGTTTTAGACTCACTCTACTCCAGTATGGCCTCTTTTGACTCAGTTGATAACAAAAGAAAACTCTATTTCCCCAAACAAGATCACCTTCACAGGTACAGATGTTAGGACTCTGGCATATCCTTTTAGGGGAATAATTCAATCTATAACATGTGGGTAATAAGATCTTTTGTCTCTGACCCAGAAGTCTCCTGTTTTCTGCTACCATCCATGAAACAATCATGCTGTTGTTAGGTGTCGCTGATTTGTCTCTAACTCATAATGACCCTATATAACAGAGCGAAACACTGCCCAGTCCAGAGCCATCCTCACAATTGTTGCTGTCTTTGAACCCACTGTTGTAGCCACCCTATCAATTTGTCTTGTTGAGGGTTTTCCTCTTCTTTGACGACCCTCTTCTATGAAACAATCATTAAAAAAAAAACAACAAAAAACCAAACTCATAGGTGAACTTATAAATAGGGTAAAATCAAATCCCAGATATAATAATTATGACATCGCCCAATTGAATTTATTCTTGTTTCTCAAATGAAACATGCCCTGGTAGTCATCATATATGTTATTCACTCTGCCTAGAACTTTCCAGCAGCTCTGGTAGCATAGCACCTAAGGCATTTGACTGCTAACCAGAGGCTAGCAGTTCAAACCCACCAGCCACTCCTTGGAAGGAAGGTTGGGCAATCTACTTCCAGGGAGATACCGCCTTGGAAACCCAAGGAGGGGTCACTATGAGTCGGATCCAACTCGACAGCAGTGAGTTTGAGAACATTCCAGCCCTTTTCAACTTTTTGTAAACTTCACCAGTTTCTCTGGGAAGGTTTCTCTCCCTTCCTACCAGCCCCTATCCTCCCACCGGGTTATGTCCCCCTCCTCTAAATTCCCACAGCAACCTATGCTTCTCTGATCGTAAAACATCTCACAATTTTAATTGCCTGCTTATTCCCTTGCTCTTCTCTCCCCTAATACATTAGGATCTGTGAGGTCAGAGGTGGTGTCTGTCTAAATTATACCCCAGATTTACACATTACCTAGCCTACTTCCGTAGTGATACTGCCTCGTAAACCCAAGGAGGGGTCACTATGAGTCGGGGCTTATCGACGGCACATAACAACAACAACAACAAGCCTACTGTAGATGCTTAAGGGTATTGACAAATGAGGTGCTATTATAGAGCTTTATATAAAGCAGAATAAAACACATAGATGTTGTTGTTGTTGTTATGTGCCGTTGAGTCAGACCCGACTCATAGCGACCACTCCTTGGGTTGCTGAGGCAGTGTCACTACGGAAGTAGGTTGCCCAACCTTCCTTCCAAGGAGTGGCTGTGGGTTTGAACCACCAGCCTTCTGGTTAGCAGTCAAGTGCCTTAGGCACTATGCTACCAGATCTCCTAAAACACATAGATAGGGCATCTAAATCAGACTGGAGGTCTAGGGAAAGCCTCCTAGAAAAGGTGACATTTGAAGTTGGTTGGAAGGACATGTTAGGTAAGTGGAGAGAGAGAGAAAGAGAGTGAGAGAGGGAAGGTGGGAGAGAGGCAGTGAAAGTGATACATGAATGCACAGAATGGAAGCTAGTATGGTGCCTTTGAGAAACTGCAAATGATTCAGTGTGGCTGCACCCAGGGTTGGAGGGATGGAGGGGTAGGAAATAAAGGTAACTATTTTATTCAGCAAGGGCTGAATCATGAAGAAGTTTAAATTTTACCTAGAAAACCATATTTTCATTTCAAGCTTGGATTTTTTTTTTTGTTTGTTTGTTTGTTACAGATATGAAGTATCATATCCTGTTAAGCATCATTGTGTAACATAAAATGATGGAATTCCATAAAAAGAGCAGTAATTTAAGAATATTCTGTAATCTAGGGTAAGGCACTTCACCTCTCTGAGCCCCTGAACACTAAATCTGATGACAGCATCTACCTCAAAGGTGTTTGTGAGCATTCCAAGCAGTAACTTAGGTTAAATGTCTGGTACACAGTATTCGTGTACTTTCATGTACAATGCATTTTCAGTCGCCTATGGTATTTCCAACTGCCTCATATGCATGTGAGATCTGGACAATGAATACGGAAGACCGAAAAAGAGTTGATGCTTTTGAGATGTGGTGTTGGCGAAGAATGCTGAAAGTACCATGATCTGCTAAAAGAACTAACAAATGTGTCCCGGAATAAGTGCAGCAGGAATGCTCCTTGGAAACATGAATGGCCAGACTTCATCTCACCTACTTTGGTCATGTTGTCAGAAGGGACCATTCCCTGGAGAAGGATGTCATGCTTGGTAAGGTGAAGGGTCGACCAAAGAGGGGAAGGCCTTCAACGAGATGGATTGACAGCGGCTGCGGCGATGGGCTCAGGTATAGCAGGGATCGCGGAGCTGGCGCGGGACCAGGCAGTGTTTCGTTCTGCTGTGCATAGGGTCGCTATGAGCCGGAGACGACTCGACAGCACCTAACAACAACAACAGCACAGTATTACTCAATAATGGTTCGTTTTCTTTTCTCTTTTTCCTCTCAACTTCCTGATCTGCAGCTAGCCTTCCCAGATCCAGGATTCGCCCTGCGGGTAAGGGAGGGGGAAATTAGCAGCCTGCTGGCGGGTGCTCGGTCCTTTCGGCTGGTCCGGCTTCCGGTTAGCCGCACGGGGGCGCTCTAGACTGCTCTGTGGCGTTCTATGGCCCTTCCTTCGCCCCGGAAGTGGTTCCGCGATGAGGGTTGGTAAGGTCGGGCCATGGTGGAGCAGAGGTTGGGAAGATGGCGTGGCGAGGCTGGGCGCAGAGAGGCTGGGGCTGCGGCCAGACGTGGGCTCCGCGGGTGGGCATCCGGAGCTGCGAGGAGCTCACTGCGGCACTGGCCCCGCCGCGGTTGTTCGGACGCAGGTAATGGCCGCTGCTCTCTTCTTCTTGCCTCCTGGCCCCTGAGCTCCGGCCGTGCATCCTTAGGGGCGGAGGACGCTCGGGTCTGTCTTGCTGCTCCGGGCTCATCACCCTTTCACCCGTCCCATACTTTCTCCTTCTCCTGCCCCTTCGCCTCTGTCCTGTCCTCGCTTCTCGCCGTGTCGCCCTGTCCTGGACTGGGGCACACTGACCGGCCCTGCTCTGTGAGCCCACGCTGTCCCTTTCCCGTCGGGAGGGACGTGACGGGAAGGGAACCAACATCTGAGGGTTATTTGCTTGCCAAGCTGCGTAATTCTGAGATGAAATATTGAACTCATTTTTTAAAGTGAAGCAACCCAACTTGCCTTGAAGTTGCATAGCTGGTAAAATGGGAGAGTTGAGATTTTCTTTTCTCTTTTCCATTATAAAGCCTCTGTACCCCTACAACCAATTACCTTCTTTAGCTAAAGGATGGCGGAGTGAGAAGAGGACATCACGTTGCCTCTTTAAGGTATTTCTGTTGTAGTAGCAGTTTCTTTCTTGAAGAATTGAGAGTGGAATATTGATTTCCAGATGATTTGGAAAGAAGAATTCTGCTTGCGTCTTCCCCAGTAGAAGCTAGGTGAAGAGTATGGTTTATCAGTATTTGCTGCTTTTGCATTAGAGTAACTCTTTTTCAGATTACACACTGAAAGGAAGAGGGAAATCTCTTAATTGTCCACGAATCTGATGTGTATTTGGCGTGACATCTGTACCTGATCTTTCATCCTCTCTGGATGATCCAGAGTATTCATGCTCCCAGTTTCTGATTTAGATGGATGCCTGGAATCCATCACCTGCAATGCTTGTGTAATCTGTTATTTCCCAGGCTTGCCTCAGTCCTACCAAATGAGAATTGCCAAGTGGAAGAACCTGTATTTCTAACAATCATGCCAAATGAGTCTTACCAGAGAATTTGTTGAAAGCTTGCCTGCATTGTATCTTTAATTTAACGATACACTGTAACATGGAGCTTCAGGCACTAATCTTAAACTCCTGGGGAGGTGGAGAAGATTCAAGGTTCATTGACTTCACTGAGGTTAACTGTTGAGCTCTCAGTCCTCTTGATGTTGTATAAACACCAAAAAATGTTACTGTTAAGTTGATTCCTACTCATGGTGACCCAGTGGCTGTGTGTTACAGAATGGAACTGCTCCATAGGGTTTTCTTGGCTGTAATCTTATGGAAACACATCACCAGGCCTTCCTCAGAGGTGTTGAGTGGGTTTGAACCTTTAGGTTACTAGCTGATCACAAAACACGTGCCATTTATATTGAAAGTTTGAAAATAACATTTATGTGATTAAATAGGGATATGTGCATTACATGAGAATATAGATAAACTTGAAATAGAGCATTTGCCACCTTGTGTCTGAAGATAAGCACCTGCAGTTAATAGAAAGCATGAAGTATATCTTGCATACAACCTTCATTAGGTCTGTTGATTTCCTGTATTCTAAAATTAGTATGCAGAAGAGTGACCTCAGAGTGGCATTAAAAATCAGAGCTCTGGCCTACTCCATCCAATTCTAATATAATAGGCCTGAAGTGGGACCAGGAATTTGCATTTTTAACAAGGACTGTAGATGGTGGTGTGGTGGTTAAGTACTCAGCTGCTAACCTAAGTAAAGGTCAGTGGTAGAACCCACCAGCCACTTTGTGGAAGAAAGATGAGGCAGTCTGTTTCTGTAGAGATTTACAGCCTGCCCTATGGGGCAGTTCTACTCTGTCCTATAGGATCTAAAGAGTTGGAATAGACTTTGTTTGGCCCTGTTGTTGTTGTTGTGTGCTGTCGAGTCGGCCCCGACTCATAGCGACCCCTTCTTGGGTTTCCGAGGCAGTATCAATACGGAAGTAGATTGCCCCATCTTCCTTCCGAGGAGTGGCTGGTGGGTTTGAACCGCCAGCCTTCTGGTTAGCAGTCGTGTGACTTAGCCACTATGCTACCAGAGCTCCCTGTTGTTTGACCCTAGTAGATAGTAATAACTACTTTAAAGGAGTGTGTGTGTGTGTGTGTGTGTGTGTGTAGAAGAGTGGGAGGCAGTAATATCTGATAGTGGTACACAGCATAAAATATTTACTGTTTGTCCCTCTACAAAAAAATGGAGAAAGTCTCATGTAGATTCTTCAGAAATTTTACTGTTATCAAATTTCTGGTAGCATTTCTGAGAAACATGGTTTAGGATTGGAAGTGGAAAACTGTGTAATTTGTCCGTTGTATGTAGAACTCTCCAGGGGACAAAATAGCACTTAATGTGCCTTAAATTTTTTAGATTGAGGTGACAGTCTTAATGCAGTTTTAGGTAAAGTGCTTGAAAGCTAAGTAAACCAAGTATATTATTTACCCTGTTTAACTTACCATCTCTTAACTCCAGATGGATTTTAAGAAAATAATTTTGAAGTGCAAAATTTTACATAGTTTTTGTAGAATCTGTTGCACCCCACCCTACCCCAATACATCTGTTTTGTTTTCACTGGCATGAATCTTTGTGTTCCTGGACACGTATTGTGTCTGTTTGAACATTAGACAATTTCTACTCATTACCTATTGTATATCCATCTGTTCACAGAAGTCTTTAGTCATAGGTACGTTACTGCTGACCAGTACGTACATCATTCCAAGTTGCATTGTCTTTATCCTCGTACTGTAAAAATAATTCGCTTGATGAGACCATGTTTTATCTCACTTGCTGTTAAGCCAACACATACAGAGGTACTTTTTCTTTTAAAAGTTATGGGATCATATTTAAAAGACTGAACCATAACAGTTGTATGACTGATGGTAAGTTAAATATTCATGAGCTGTTCCCACTCAGCACATTAGACTGCTTTCACAAATCACTAGTTATTGAAAGAAGAACCCAAGCAGCAGAGCTGAAATGTAGGCCTGCCTCTATGAATCTAGGTGTAAGCTTGAAGGGACTCTCTTTTCTCCCCCATTCATTTTATTGCATTGCTTCATTTTCTGTTCTTCTAAGTTATCTTAGGTAAGTCATAAGTCATTTATTATCCCATCTTACATAGCCATCTGAAGTGGGTAGAGCTAAAGAACCTAAACCTGTGAATATGATTTCAAACATTTGCTACTGGAGACATTTATTATACTTACCCAGGTTGGTTTTGCACTTAAAGAAATTTAAAACTAAAGCTCCCTAAGAGAATGTACCTTACCTAAAATGTGACAAGTATACTTGTTAACTCTAAAAGCATACGTTTAAAAAAAAAAAGTGTTTTAGAAATTAAAAGAGGTATATTTTGTTGTTGCTTGGAATATACATAGCAAAACATGCACCAGTTCAACAGTTTCTACCTATGACATTGATCACTTTCTTGAAGTTGTGCAACCATCTTCAGCCTTTGTTTCTGAGTTGTTCCTCCTCCATTAACATAAATCTGCTGCCCCCTAAGGTTCCTATCTAATCTTTCAAGTTCTTGTTGTCAGTTTGGTCCCATGTTCATAGTTCTTAAAAGAGCACAGTGTTCAATATATACATTTTTTTATTGTTGTTGTTATGTGCTGTGGAGTCAGACCTGACTCATAGCAACCCCTCCTTGGGTTTACGAGGCAGTATCACTACGGAAGTAAATTGCCCAACCTTCCGAGGAGTGGCTGGTGGGTTTGAACTGGCAGCCTTCTGGTTAGCAGTCAAATGCCTTAGGCACTATGCTACCAGAGCTTCTACATTTTTCACTGTTATTGTTGTTATGTGCCCTTGACTAGTTAAGCTAAACTTGTTTGGTTTTAAGAAGATTTCAGGGGATATTTTTGGTTTGAGGTTTAAAGATTATCTCAGGGCAGTAGTTTTGGGGGTTCATCCAATCTTCATGGCTCCAGGAAGTCTGAAGTCCATGAGAATTTGAATTCTGTTGTGCATCTTTCCCCTTTGGATCAGGATTCTTTTATAGAACCTTTGATCAAAGTGTTCAATAATGGTAGCCTGGTAACCATCTAGTCAGGGATGTATTACCCAATAAGCCTGGTAAAACCCATGGGAAATGTTCACTACAGATTAGTTAATTAAGCACAAGTAAGCCCGTGGTTACCTTGCTTACTGTGTTCTATGTCCCTGTCAGGATTGTAAATTTGAGAAGTGTCTTTGATTCTGTAGGAAAGTGCTTGGGGGAGAGAGATTCCAACCATACTTAGAAGTAGAATCTTTGATGTGAAAAATGTGAAATTGTTCACTGCAGGTTAGTAAGTACAGGTAAGCCTTACCTTGCTTATTGGGTAATCTGACAGTGCATCCAGTTGTGATCTCATGGCAAAGAAGGCCATTTGTTCTTGGAGACAGTTAACGGCACATTCTGTATCCTCCTCCTGTTCCTAATGCTCCTTCCTGTATTGCTCTGTGAAAATAGAGACCAATTGTGCAAGCTCTCTGAAAGCATTCGTAGACCAACAGAAAACCCAGTTCCAACCCATCCAAACAATTATGGGAATCTATTGGTTTATGCAGTTGGAAAAGTCCAGAGGTAAGATCCAGTATCTCAAATTGTCACTACGACTCCATTTTTCTCCAAGGTTTATTCTCTCAGCATGCTATTTCTATGTGGTTGTATGATAGCTTCCAGCAGCCTGTGGGGCTGTGCATTTCTAGGTTCAAATACAGTGGAAAAAGTTCTCTGTTCAAGATCACTGACAAAATCTTGAAATTGAATATTGTTAGGCCTGATTGACTACCTTTAGACACATTTCCTTCTTTGAATCCCTTGAAGTTGCCAGAGCATGGGGTGTGAGGGTTGGTTTAAGCTCATTAGGAGCGTGCCTGGAATGGCTGGAAATTCCATGGTGCTGTTAGGAAGGGCAGAGAGGGCTTGGATTCTGGGAGTGAGCCAATACTCACAGACAGCCCAACTGGAGCTTTTGTCCTTGAGTTACTGGTTTTGTTACCTGGTTGGGTAGGATTCATTTGTAGATAATGTTTCTAGTTCAAGTAGAAATTCAGTGGATTACAAATGTTTGAA